TGACAACTAATTTGATTACTAATGATTACTGACATTGATTGTGGCTGATGGCCGATATAAAATTTATATATATTTATAATTTATATTTGTTTTATTATTCAATAATTTGGAAATAAAATATTTTGAAAATGAATACAAAAACAAATCTGTAAAAAAACAGACTTGAAATCTTTGGTTTCAGCTTTTTTATTCTGAAAACCTTTTACAGTATTTTTCACAAATAAAGAAATTGTTAAAATAATATAGCCTATGAATAAAAGGATGTAAACACTGCAACCAACAGGGCATTTTGGGAAACTGATTTTCAAATAAAGACAAGTAACACTAATTTTACAAACTAATGAAGTACAAACTGACACTGGCGTTATCAGCACCATACGAACCATCGGCCAAACAGAAAAAAAGTTTGGGTATTTAAAAAAAAGCCAAATAAATGCTGGTCAGCAATCTCAATAGTTTCAAATTACCTCGCTATATGGGAAAACAAACTCGTGAAATATCACTGTTATCGGTTTGCCATTTATAGAACACAAAACGAAAATTGAAAATGAAGAACATTTTGAAAATACAAACACTTTCATGAATCTGGTTTACGGAACAAAGCGGCTTTATGAACAATTTACATTAAAAATCATTCTGCTTGTGTTTCATGGATGAGGCCCATTGTGTGTTATTAAAGAGAAAGACAGTTCTACTCTTAAAAGTCTATAACCTGTTTGAGCTGTAAATTAAAGTTTTTTGGAGGTGTGTTTATGAGTTGATATGATGGGGTTTGTGCATGTGTTTTGGTTGCAGTGCTGTCTCCATTAATTAGGTTTTTTATGTAATGTTATATTGATTTTTTTTTTTTTTTTTGTAAACATGCTGGTCAAGCGCTGGGCAGATAAGAGCAGTGGGGGGTTGGCCATCCTTCTGAACCAAAGCATGTGTCTGCCTGAAGAGAAAATGCTCAGTGAGGGCGGGATGAAATATAGGGAAAGAACTTTAACATCATAAATCATCTTAAGCTAAAAGAGAGGCAGTGAATTGTGTTTGTGACATTTTCATACTGTCATACATTCTGAAACAGTAAAAACTGGACAGAAGGAACATGACAGAGATGAATTACTTAATAGTGACAGATTGTTTTGTATTGTGGAATATAAATAACTGGTTCTTAAAAAATGTATGTAAATCTAGAGGAGTCTTGTTTTTTGCATGTTGTGTGTTCGCAAAGAATTTAAAGGGATAGTTCACCCAAAAATGAAAATTGTGTCATCATTGACACCCTCAAGTTGTTCCAAACCTGAATGAATTTCTTTCTTCTGCTGAACACAAAAGAAGATATTTTGAAGAATGTACAATTTTTTTATTATTATTATTTTTATATATAAACCAAACAGTTGATGGGCCCCATTGACTTCTTTTGGAAGTCAAAGAAGATATTTTGAAGATTTGTATTAAAACAAAATTTAAGGTTGATCCATATTCTTCAAATTATATTGTTATTTGTTGAGCAGAATGAAATTAGGGAGTGTTTAAAGATATTGTCTAGCTTGTTCGAGAGAAGGTTTTGTTGGGCAAACAGTTTGTAAAACAACTGGAAGTGTTCAGTAAGAGTACCGTTGATTAGCGGAGCTTGCCAATAAGAAACGGTATTTAATGAATAATACAGTTAAGACTATGTTTAATACAGAATGTTTTTATTCAATTTAATAGTAATATATCCTGCTTGAATACTACTGTTAAAAAGACTTGCTTGCCGTTGCTGAAAACCTTACATTGTCATTTGTATTTTTTATTTATTGTATTCTATTGTGAGATATAACCAATTTTTATGCGACAATGAGTAATTTTATTTCACAATAACGATATATATATATATATATATATATATATATATTCAGTCACATAGAATGTGGTTAAAGCTACAAAAGTGATTCAGTTAAAATTTTAAAGTAATTTTTAAACTGCTGCATTTTGATTTTGTTGTCTGATCAACATTAACGGCAAATACAGGTGTATTAGTCTGCTATCACTTTAATATCTAATGTGTGAATCCAATATATTGACACATCAGCAGAGCAGATTTGAGTGTAAAAGTGCAGCAACAAGCTTGTTCTGATGATATTACTCTGTTTTAATTAAATATCAAAATAATATGGTAAATGCATTGCATTTATAGCGCTTTCACAGACCCAATGACAACCAAAGCGCTTTACATTTTGCCTCATTCACCCATTCACTCACTCATTCATACACCAATGGTGGTGTCAGCCATGGAAGGCACGATCCAGCTCGTCGGGAGCAGCTGGGGTTAGGTGTCTTGCTCATGGACACCTCGACACTTCAACCAATCCCCTTCTGGCTATGAAGATTTTAGGTAGGGCTGTAACGATTTTGGCTAAAATCATAATCATGATTAATCGAACAAGTCACCTTGATTACGATTATTGAACGATTATTTTAATTTTTTTGCTTTCTCATATGTCACTGGCAAGGCTTATTCTGTAAATATGCATGTATTTTTTTTCTAATGAAAGAGTGCATAATGTTTGAGATTCTAAACTAAGGAAACACACAGATAACTTTTAATGCTTATTAAATATTTTAAAATATTTAAAAAAAATGTAGAAAATAGTTATTTTTGTAAATAAAATAAATTATTGTAAATATTGCCATCTAAAAGGTAAAATACAACTTGTATAAAACTAAAAACCTAATCCTTTTCATATTGTATAGCATCTGTAAAACGCTTGTGTTATCGAAAGCTGCTTTGTGGAGTGGAGGCACTTGTTGCTGGGCGTTTGTCAGTGTCTCTTTTTTTCCCCGTGTTTCTTTGGTACAAGCAGCTCCTGTTGCTGAGTTGACTTAGTATTCTAGGAATCAGAGTGCATTCACACACAACCCGCAAAGACACGTGACATCTCAGCAGCGTCTATAGTTTCAGCAGCGTCTCAGCAGCGTCTATAGTTTGCTTATGAGTTGCGATTTCTTTTTCGTAAAACCACTCTTGTGCATTTGTTTTTCTCTGATTCGATCATAAATTAGCGCATTACGTACCGTTTCACGCTGGTGAATGATCCCAGCTTAAACGGCATCATTAGGCTGCAAGTGCAACGCGACATTGATTAGGCTACGGCTTTTGTTCAGTCACGGCGCGCGCTCCGTGACTGAACCATGGACTGAACACAGCAATTGTTACTCTGTCCCCAACCTGGCGGCACCAATATGGAATTAATATTGAGCCAATAAAAATGAACGTAACTTTTCAAGAAACGAATGAAAATATAAATTGAAACTGAATAAAATATCTTTGAAACTGAAAAAGAATGAACCGCAAGCAATTTTTTTGACTTTGTTTTTAATACACTACATGTTTTGCTAACTATTCCTCATATTTCGTTTACTGATCTACACTTACAAATGCGCTTCCAGAGTTTTCATTTACGCTTCTGAAGTTTTCGTTTACACTCCCTGAGTTTGCGTTCGCTGTTCTGACACAAATCTCTCGTGGGGGCGGGGCTAGTAGCAGTGTATTCTCATTGGCTACTGAGTTTTTGATTGACAGCTTCTTGACCTGGAAGTGAAGACGTCAGAGTTGTGTTTACACGTGTGGATGTGAGCGTCTGTAAGCGCAGCTTTCTATTTAATTTTAGTGATATTAAGTTACGTTTGTTTTTTAATTGTATCTGTATTTACCTTCTGCTGCGATTACTTTGTCAACAAAAGCTTTTAGGTTCACAAGAGATCAGTCTATTCAGCTGTAATTGTACATCAAAGTAGGCCCACTGTATATGACTACTTAAAATATTGTGTCCAATGTTTTAGGAGAATATTTGTTTATTCTTGATGATTCGTTTGCATGTTAGGCTCTGAATAGGTTGTGCTATTACAAGAGAATAGCCTACTAGTATACGTGTGTGATATATTCAGCAGTCAAGAAAGTTTCACTTCAACCAGGTAATCAAGGTTGGCAACCATGGCCATCAAATTTCTCATTGTTACCATATGCATTTACACCATCAAATGATCATGTATGATCACTTAAATAAGAGGAATTTAAACTATATGAAAATTACAATCGTGAGTTGCTGTCAGATGATACAGACCTCAAAGGGCATTTCATTACATATTTCACATAAAGAATATTTTTGTTGGTATTTTTTTAATCATGCTGATCATTTTATTTATTTCATTTTGTTAATATTATTTTCTCACATTTAAAATGGTAAATATATTTGAACAATCATCAACAGGTTCAATTATGACTTATAAAATCAGTTAAATGAATTTAAATAAAAAATTTAAATAAATGTATTCATTCTTTATTGTCACTACAGCATATACACAAGTATCAAAGTGAAAGTCTTGGATGCAGTTATGACAGGAAAGACCAGAATCCACAAAACATTAACTGCATACTATACATGTAATGCACAGCATTCTCATAATATAGATAATAAAATGTATAATCACAAAGATTTTTAATGAAATAATACATCTCTGTGAATCCACATAACACAAGTGGATTGTACCAATGTATGGCAGTTGGTCGGAAGTTATTTTTAATAGTTAAAACAGTTTACATTATTAGTATTTTTTTTTTATCCTATTGTTTCACTTCAGAAGGTATTGATTCATCCACTGAGGTCACATGCACATCACGGTCACTGTGTGTGGTTTTTAAAGCATCTTTAGGACTTGCAGAGATGGATTACTTTCCTTAAAATCTTAATTCGTATTTATCTGTAGAAAGAAAGTAAAATGCATCTGGGACAGCATGAGGGTGAGTAAAATAAGTGAGAATTTTATTTTTGGATGAACTATTCCATTCATATGCTGTTGATATGCTAATCCATGATCAGCAGAGACTAATAAGAATAAACTGCAACCTCTTGTGTACTGTGATTGTTTTAATCTAGAGCTCCAAAGAAATTAAAATATTTGCTATTTTATCATATTAAAATAAAATACAACAGGTGTCTGAAGATAAGGATCCCAGTCATGGTGATGTCTAAACAAAGTAACATTATTGTCTGATGGAGACAGCTGATCTCTGGTATTATCACTCCATCTTCTGTGTCAGCATCAGAATTTTGTTTGTGGAAAAGTTGCTCAAATCCCTGGAAAATGAGAAAGGAAATATATTATAATCTAACAATACAAACTGCTTTGAACTCCCACATGCAGTAACCATTTGCAGACTTAAAATAATTATTTCAAACAAATTATATAAATGTTTTAAGAGATTTTACAGTACTAAATGTTTACCTGACTCACACACCATTTATCATCTGTAATACTATTGTGTAACCAGTAGAAGGCTCTATAGCCCAATAAACATTTATCCATGGCTGTGTAGCGTCTACTCCCTAGTTGCTGGATTTTTTCAGTCATAATTACTTGCATGTATTAGGTTTTGAATTTGGATATATATATATATATATATATATATATATATATAAATTATTAAAGACTATTAAAAATTCAACATTTTTCTCCAAAATGTTGTTTTTTTTAACATAATTATTACTCAAATATGGATACAGAAAAAGCATTTTGTTGCCTTTTGCAGAATAAATATTGCGCCCAGGGTTATACTTCAAAACAAATGAGTGTTTACATATTATGAATGGAGACGTGGAAAATGGTCAAGTACTCTCTCTTCTTTTAAAAACTCTGCATCACAAATTAATCAGCAATTGGCTTTACATTGCCAAAGTTGAATCGGGCAGTGATTGACAGGGCTCTGGTCCAAAGGCATTGGTCATTGTCTGATACAGTACATTTTGTACTGTAGGCTACAGTACAGATACTGTACAGTACTCTAGCACAATGTTGTTTGGGGTGGCAGAGGGGAAATATGATCTAATTGAAGCAAATATGATCTAATCGAAGACTGTAACCGTATGTAACGTTAACAAGACATGTAATGATTGGGCTAACAACTTACCAATTAAATCAAGACAACACTGCTGTATAATGTTATGGGCTCTCACTGAGCTCTAATATGCCTCTCCACCTGAAAAAGCAAGAACTGTATTATAATTAGTATTAGTTTAGTATTAATCAATAAAAAAAATAAAAACAATCAAACTTACCACGAGTAGCCTATGCTATCCAGTATTCTGATATCGACGATGACAAATTATATAATTTCTCTGTACTACTCCTTCTATAAGAAATCATATCAACAATATAGTGTAGCAGTAAATAAATATAGAAATAAACTTAATATCACCTAAATGAAATAGAAAGCTACGCTTACAGACGCTCACATCCAAACGTGTAAACACAACACTCACTGACGTCTTCACTTCCAGGTCAAGAAGCTGTCAATCAAAAACTCAGTAGCCAATGAGAATACACTGCTACTAGCCCCGCCCCCACGAGAGATTTGTGTCAGAACAGCGAACGCAAACTCAGGGAGTGTAAACGAAAACTTCAGAAGCGTAAATGAAAACTCTGGAAGCGCATTTGTAAGTGTAGATCAGTAAACGAAATATGAGGAATAGTTAGCAAAACATGTAGTGTATTAAAAACAAAGTCAAAAAAATTGCTTGCGGTTCATTCTTTTTCAGTTTCAAAGATATTTTATTCAGTTTCAATTTATATTTTCATTCGTTTCTTGAAAAGTTACGTTCATTTTTATTGGCTCAAAATTAATTCGATACACCAATCCCGGGCCGTGTTTGCGTTCACACAGGTGTTTGTTCTGGCAATTTCCCGGGATCAACGGGCTGTGTGAAAGGGGCTCATGTTGTTTCAATGTCGCAGACTGGACGAGGTGGAGTGACGTGACTACTATGTTTTAAGGGGAAAGTATGTCAACACACAGTGGGCGTATATATTAATAGTATTCAAAACCCAAAATAACCGACATGGTAAAATCACGTCGGTTATAGGCTCTGAATTTTGGTTTCGATTATTTTTCGGTTAATCGTCCAGCCCTAATTTTAGGCCATTACTTATTGGCTGCTTGATAAAATAAATCCTCTGAGGGAGAGAGAGAGGTCTGCCTGACAACAGGGCCTTTTGTGTCTGTGTGAAAGTGACAGTTGGGATTGGAAAGTTCCACAATGCTAAGTCAATGGGATTTTTTTGGCCGCTTTTTCTTCCGCTGTGCAAACATCATACACCCGATCTCTTAGAAAAGTCATAGCACACCATTCCCGAACAAGCCGCACATTTTGACACCTCTTTCATGGGTCTGTGACAAAAGCTGCAGGAGGAGTAGCGCACTGAAATTTTGTGTGGAAGAATAATAAGTATGCAAGAGAACACTAGTGTTGCTTTGCCTTTGGCAAGCACCACTAATTACAAAATATTAGTGCATATTTAGTTACTTTTACAGCTTGATAATCAGAAGAATCCTCTACACTAAGGGAAGAATACGCTTCTTGAGCTCTGCCCGTAAATACAGACTGCAACATAAGTGTTCGCTCTTCATCTGGCCAACGTTGTGCATCTGCAACACGTTCAAACAATAAAAAGAAATGCTCAACCTCTTTCTCATCAAATTTAGGAATCAATCTCATGTTTCTTACCATATCAAACTTGCATGAACTTGAATCACTTACTGCTTCTCCAGTAAGAGAAAGTTTACCATCTGTTATTAAATCCAAACGATACCGTTCAAGTTCCAGTTGTTGTTGCTGCAATTGGATTTTAGAGATTTCTATGTGATTTTGTGCTTATAAATGTTTTTCTTTAATCTCTGCTTGAATTAACAATAATTGCTTTTGTTGTTCAAAAATCAAATGAAACTGTGTTGACGACGCATGTACAAAAGTTAATGTGTCTTCTGAAGATTGAGTCTCTAAAATGCCACGTTCAACTAACTCTGTTATACACTATAAACCAGTGTTTGCAATAGCAACCAATTAACGATTCACTACTACAAACACGGACGTGTTCCCGAGACAAATGCTCTAACTGCTTTCACCGTACAAAAATAACAAACTAAAATAAAAAAAAGATCGGAATATCCTGTCAAGGATATCCCGCTAAACCTACGTAGGGAAAAAGCCTAAGCCAAAACACTTTCTTCAAACTTAGTAGCCAATAGTTACCAAATGAAACTCCCGTAACCTGCCAGAACAACCAAACCAACCACTAACACCCTCCACAAATTTTACTTCTAACGAATTAATTTATTAAAACAAATAATAAACCTCAATTTACCACATTAACAAGAACCCAATAAACGAATGAATTTCTCTTACCAAAACAAATTTGTCCAAATCAAAAAAAATCAGCTTAAACAATGGACAAACCTCCATATTTATCATACGAACGAAACTTTATCAAATAACAAATGGCTGGACCTGGACGACACAAACTACGAACGAAACTTTATCAAATTTGGCTGGACGAGCCCCCATATTTGTCACGACCGGCTCAAAGCCGTGACAAATAAGTGGAGGACATTTGACAGTGCATTTATTAACATAAATAGAAAAATAAACAGAACAGGAAAACAATTTCAACACTAATACCATTTCTGTCTAACAAACGATGTTAAAATGTAAGACAGAACTAAGATCAAATCATAGCAAAGGAAAACAAAACAAACCCAACACAAAAAGCACTGGGAGCTTCAACTCTCACAAGACTGGCAGCTCAGCAGATCTCGAAAGCTCTCCCTAACATTCTCAAAGCCTAAGCTTATATACAGGTGTAGATCACTCGCTAATCCTGCACAGGTGTACAATGTTCTCTTGATGAGTCTCCCAGCCACGCCCACCGGTCGACCACAGTGGAAACAACCGGAGACCTGTCACAATATATATATATATATATATATATATATATATATATACATACAAAATAATTATACACAGTGGACCCCCATTTATAATGTAAACACAAACTTTTATTTTGGATGCGATTAATTGCGATTAATCGTTTGACAGCCCTAATTATTATTATTAATATTATTATTATTCCTCCGTAAAACTGAGATCGGCCAGACCAAACCCTAAGGCCTAGAGACTTGAAACCTGGCCAGGTGGTAGGTCTAAATTTGGAAAATTATAGATTTATATAATTTGCGTATTCTCCATCATGGATATTTTATGCTTTCAAGCCTACATTTCGGTTTGGCCTAGAGCCCTACAGCATAGTTGGAATGTAGGTCTTAAATGCTTGAACCCCGTAATTGCTGCTGGCAGTTATATTCTGTTACTGTTATCGAGAAAAAATGTGAAATGTGAAATTAAATGAGTTACTTATGAAAATGCTAATGATTACAATTGGGGTTACACAATATGTTGAATGATATTAATTTGTTGCTTTGCCTGTTTTTGATGTGCATGATGCCTCCTGTCATCTGGCCGTTAATTGAAGCGATGCTATTCTGATGCTCATTACTGACGCTCCCTAAACGCAATTACACAGTTTGTGTAGTGTACCAAATCCCCAGGGGGCACCATTTTCGTTGCTCAAAAAAGCCCTTTTATTCTATATTAATATTAACATATATATACACAAAAGGCATTTATGGTAAACACAGTAAGCACATGCCATTCATTCCTGCATGTGCGCCCCGCCCCACCTCATGTTTGCTGCTGGTTGACAGGTTGTGAGAACTATGCCGAGCAAAAAAAACAGGTAGCCTATTTATGTTCACAAACATGTGAAAGTTTTGGCTATTGAAGTTAATGGGTGGAATTAATTATACGTGTTTAACGCCGCATTAATAATTTGACCACCAGCAACTTTGTTTGCTTAATTTGATACTAATGCAATTTATGTCACATAATTTCAATTATTTTAATGTGTGTTTTTAGCTATGGTAAGATATCTGATTCGGGCTGTCAGTACCAGAAGAGGAGAATTCCACGGCCGAGAATCCATTAACCACATTATTATTGTCTACGGCTGCAAGATTTATTAAAACCATTTAAAAAATCATAATACAGCATAGCATCATACTATCACAGGATAATTTAAAATATGCAAGTTGTTGTTCATCGTGATTTCAAAATAAAAGTTTAAACCCTCGGTCCGAGCTTGCATGTTTTGAATATTTATGTCCACATGTTCTTGTTGAAGAAATTACAGTGGCTGTAGCATGTCTATTGTAAAGTAGGCCAAATATTATTATTTTTTAATTAATATTAAATATCAAACATTTTAAAACATTTTTAATTAAATGCTGTATAATTCGTAATGCTTGTTTGGCCAAAACCAAGGATTTGATCATGCGTAACGACAACAATTTTGTCACGACCCTTTGCAGACTTTTATTATATTACATAATTTATACTACGTACATTAGATTATGTATTTTAACAGTGTTGTTCATTAAACCATAAAACGACTTGCTTTTGGTACTTTCTTTGAACTAATTATTATAGCTTAATTGTTATATGCACAACAATATAAATCTGCTTAGGGCACCCATTTGTCCAGCAGCAGCCCTGTTGATGCTTTTGATTGGTTCTCTTGTTTGAATTTGCAGTGCAAAACGTCTGCCAATTACATCAATCCACTTGCCTGGCTAACGTCAGACCCAAGTCTCATTGAGACTTGGGTCTGGGAACCACTTGTTAATTTTCTCGTATTTGAATTCTCATATTTGGTTTTCGAATGCCCAGAGCCATTTATTGGGTGCTAAGAATGTCTATCAAATGTGCCTGTACATAGCTCATAGCCGATCGTTTCAATTGACCCTTTGCTAAGCCCCGCCCTCCCTAGTTACTGTTGCTACGCCTGTCAAGCTTTCGCGTCTGGCACATCTATTATAGTGTGGATGCACCGATGTCAGACATTCCCAATGAGATAATTAGTCATTTTCGACGAACAAGTGAAATATCTGAGAGAGCAAGATAAAAGGGACTGCAGTTTTCCATTCGAGCGATATATTCACAACATAATATGCAACCGATTAGAGAATAATTTCTTAAAAATTGAAGCTAAAGCCTAACGTTAGTCCCAGCGCAAGCAGCAGTGCCTCATATGCTGACCATTCAAATGGGAAACACAAAAATTGAGGAACAGCTATGCTTGTGCACACCAGGGTATGTAAATAATCCTAATAATTATAAATCAAACAACTTATCCATAAATCTTGTGGAATAACACTAATACCAGGAGAGCCACGATCGAATTGGGTTAATGTTAGTCTGGGGTAGTAGGACGTTGATTAACAAAATCCTGAAATATATTTTAAAGTATGTCAGTCTTT